TCTTCTTTAATACTTATAGAATTAGGTATTCTACTAGGGACTCTAATAGTCTTATATATCCCTTTTATAATATATCCTTTAGATACTCCTTAAGCGTCTTATTTTACTTAGGGTTTTAAGAATAAATCTTATTAAACGTTAGTTTAATACTAGGCTAGAGTCTAATCTTATAGTCTTAGCGTAAATACTCTAGTAATTCTATTTCTAGCTCTTCGCTAAATAGCTTACTATACTATAAGTATTTCTTAGGAATCTTTATTATCTTAGCTTTTAGCTCTCTAGTAATCACATATATTCCTAAAGGCCTATTATAGTTTAAATAAGGTACCCTTTATAGGCTGCTCTTTGCTTTATAATCGTATTCTAGTAAATTCTATTAAAGTTAGCTGGTTCTCTAATTAACTCGTAGATTGCTTACTTATAACTAGGGTATTTCTAATATAATATTATATTTTAAGATCACTATAATATTTAGTGTAACTTAGTATTTCATACCTTATATATTAACTAAAAGCTACGTAACTTCCATGTTAACTACTTCTTAGCTATACTTTACCGTAATTCCTTCTATAATTATAAGTTAGTAGGGCTTATCTTTAGGTGTCTAAGGCAATCGTAATTTATTAACGAGATTTAATAAGATAAAATTTCCTTATACTCCACTATTAATTATTACCTGAATCTTTCTTCCCATTATAGTTATATTAACTATAAGGTGTATAGTACTACTAATATTTATAATACATAAAGACCTGTTAGATCTCCGTTAAGGAATCGGTCTTAATTACGATAACAGCTATCATTTCCCGAATTATTGATCCTATCCTCATATCGTTCTCTAGCGCGTTATTCTAGGCGCTATTATCGGCGGGTGTGGTGGCTTTTCCGCATTATTAGAGCTTCCTTAGTAATCGCTTGATCTACTATCTGTGTTAATTGAACTCGGGCTAAGCGAGTTGCTCGTAGTCACATAGTTCCCTTTCTCCTTACATTATAGGGTTATAGCTTAGGTAGTATATGCGTTATCCTTAGCATAGTATAACTTTCCGTTTAATATTTTTAAATTGGTTTATTATAATTACGGTTATATTATAAGGGTTATTCTCCTTTCCTTTCATTCTCGTAGAAACCATTCACTACCTTACTTACTATTAAGGTGCGTATAGCAATTATTATTATAATAAAAGGTCTAATTAAGGAGTTTATGTTTAATTTTAGGTTCGTCTTTCTTAATTAAATAATTCTCTTCTTCTTAACTTTTAAAGCTACTAGTAAGAATAAATAATAGTTTTATTAAGCTCTTAATTACTTAATTAGGTTATAATTTAACACGAAAAAAACGCGAAAATAATAATATATTACGATTTTCATTTAATTACACGTAAATTATATACGAGGGTATAGTAGCCTAAATATATATCTATTATATTATAGGGTAATATAGGTTATAGCGCTCATACATACAGCTCCCAATAGATGGACTCCGGTGAAGGGCACGTTCGATGGCGCCTTTGAACCGAATACATAGCTGCGTGGCCTCGTATACATAATACCGCTCGCCCTACTAAAAACTATGCAGCTCCCGCCTCCGGCGCCTAAACCGAGTGTACAATTCATCTATGCGCCTTAAAATCTAGGGTACTCTAGATATTGTCAACTACTGTCATCGCAACATGTAACTAGTCTTAACGCATTACTGTAAAGCGGCTCGTTTGCAAATAATGCGAGTGCCTAGGACAGCATTATCCCTTTGGGTAGGGTTTCCTGTCGTCGGCCTGCTTATGCCCCATCCACCGTATCTGGAGACATGCTGTCGGACCAAGTGTGTGTGTATTTAACCATGTGTTGGTGCGAGTACGTGCTTGGCCATAGGACGTTCCCAGTAGCCCCAATCCATTGCCAGGGATTAGCGGCATTTAAGATGGCCGTGCCGACCAACTGTCCGCTTATAGTGACACAGGGTGTGCGGTACCAGTATTACGAGATGAGATGCTTGTCACAGGCATTAGGCGGTTGAGTTACCGTGCCGTCCCAGGCAGGAAAGTTAACTTGCACGTGTGAGGGAACTAAACACTCCGTAATAAGAAGTGTTGCTCTACATGACTGTAGAGTATCTATCACTTGCAAAGCTTCAATAATTTGACCTCATGCCCGAACTGTGAGTGATCTACCTGTCTATAAGTCTTTTAATTTTTTTGTGCCTAATGCCCACAGTACATAGCCATCGAATCGTTCTCGCCTAGAAGGGCCGCGGTTCGGGAGAGGCTGAAGATGCCAAGGTAGAATAATCATGGGGCACACTAGGCACGGGCCGTTCCTTTCATGTATATAAGATAGTCTCCCCTCGCCTTCTAGCTTGGAGGAACCAAGGACCTTTGACATCCTACAAGATTATCATTGAATTGAGCCCTTTTGCTTCGAGCTCTCTACTAAGCCCTTGTCACATTAATACTCTAGCTACATCTTACACGTAGTTTATATTTGTAGTAATAATAGTAAAATAAAGGGTCATATTATTAAGAAATCTTTAGGTAGAAATTATAAAAAAGAAGACTAATTAATATAACTAATACCCTAAATTATTATAACAGGTCTCCTTACCGCTTATTACGTTAAAGATAGGGTGGGGTTAGATCCGTAAGGACTCTTAGCTGCAATAACCGACACTAATCTAACACGTGCCGTCAATTAGTCTCTAACCAGAACCCCCCCACCTTGCCAATCCACAAAGTCTGTTCGGTCCACAGGGACCTTTGCTTGCTAGGCAACGCAACTTGGCCTCCTTCATCAGCTGCATCCGCGCAACGCGAACGGCATTATTCAGGCTACACCGATGTACAGACAGCATGGCTGCTCCTCATCTCCGGCATCAAAACTCCCTCGAGGGCTTTGTGAACTTATCGTCAAGCCCTCCTCTTCCAGCTAATATTCGTACCCAAGCCGACCACCGCTTCCAGGAGATCATGGAACGCTTCCGAGATAGAGACCCCGACCGAAGCTCTAAATACGATCGACCTAAGCTTATTAACCTCATTTACCGATATGCTATATCCCAAAAGTCCAGAGATAATATCTTGCGAGCCGTATTTCGCGCTCTAGAGCTGCCGATAGAGGGAGACGCGGTCGATTTCTCAACCGAAACAGCGCTGTTATTGCGTCTAATTGGATTTGCAGACCACTTGGTTGATAATTTTTTCATGCCATGTACGCTGAAAAGGAGCTACAACCGTGTACGCGCCTTTACATGCTTGGTGCTAACCGATTCCATTACAGTACGGGCGTTAACGGCCAAGACGCCTCAGCCTACACCACATTACCGGTCCGCAACGCTGCGATCGAGCAGTAAGGATTTCGTCGGAACACCCGAGCGACTATCTACTCTTCGTGGCGACTGCCTAGTTCGGGATAAGCATCGATGTGTTATATCACGAGTCTATGATAAGACGCGTGCAGAAAAACAGGCAGCAGCGGATGTTATGCTTGACGATGATCAGCGTCCAATTAAAGACGGCAAGTTTGCTTATTTGGAGGTTGCCCACATCATGCCACACTCCCTGGTGCAGGTCGGATCGGATTTAGAAGAGCTAGTGAGTCACCGCTGCCTCTTTTCATAGCTTGGACATCTCTATCGCCCCTCTACTGTCTTTTATGACTTTGGTATTATTGCTGCTATCAATATCGTTGGCTTTGCTAAAGTTGTTGAGGTTGACGCTGTTATTCTTGCTGCTGCCAACATTCTTGTTGATAAACTTTTCTCTCTTCGCTTTTCAGCTATCAGATACAGTGAATTCCCCTGCTCTGTACTGACTGGCTTTTCAATTAGAATGAAGCAAGGAAAACCGCCCTAGAAATCCTCAACATGTTCGACAATGACATTGACCATCGTATCAATGGCACAGATATTAACAGGCCGTTTAACGCGTTAACATTAACCCTCAACTTGCATCGAGCCTTCGGCAATTTTGAAGTCTACTTCACATCTATCCGCGGCCGCGAGCATACGTATGAGATTAGCACATTCCAACGCACAGGGTTCACAGAGGTGGCCCTCCCTGTTGTGAGGACATTACACCTCACGGAAGATCGAAATATCGAGCCTCCATCTCCCCAGCTTTTGGCTGTGCACCGTGCTATTGCTCACATTCTGCATCTATCGGGCGCTGGGCGTTATATAGATCGCATCGTTGATAGCATGAATGAGCAACAGGCTAGAAGTGATGGCTCCACAGATCTAGGGAGTCTTGTACGCCTGCGCGCACAAGCATGGATCGCTGGCGGTGTATATATGTAAATAATTTGTTTACATCTCATATACATATTTGAGCGTGCTGTGTCATTGCTAGACCTACTACCATGCTGAGATTTGTTAGTGGGTAGTCCCGGATGCACTAAAAGGACAAGCAACTTTTAATCCTCGACGAAGTTAGCATGCTAAGGGCCCGCACGCTGTTTGCTATCAACGAACAACTAAAGTCTCTTCGTAGCTCACCACGGGATTTTGGCGGTATACCTATTATCATTTTCTGCTATTAGTTCAGGCCTGTGCAGAAGAGATCAATGCTACAGCCGAGCACCATGAACTCGTGGGATGACGATGTAAGTTTTCGAATAGAGCAGAGGCATGACCTCGATGTAGCGCATGCTCTCTGGAAGAGGTTCTCCACAGTCGTGATGTTGAACGAGCAGGTGCGAGCAGCTAGAGACCCTAAATTGCATTATCTTCTGACAAGAACCTGCTAGGGCTCGTAAACCCAGGCCGACCTGGACCTTTTAAATGACAGATGCTATGAAGAGGGCAGGGTGATCCCTTGGGGGACGGGGATTATTATTGTAACACCATTGAACTGGAACCTGAACATGGAGGCCACTGTAGCCTTTCACAGGCAACGGCAAGCCACACTTCGAATCTTCCTGTCCGAACACAAGTGGGTCGACGGCCGGAACCGAAGAGGAAGCCATTATAATACAAAGTCAAGGAGATGATAGTAGCATCCCGGTACATCTAGTCTTCATGTTTATAGCTGGCATGCCGATCATCGTTAATAAGAACACACTGTAGGGATTGAAGTTTATGAATGGAGCGTTATTCACGGCCGTTAGCACGGTGCTGGATAAGGCGTACCCGGGCTACCGGATCTCGGCTGACACGATTCTCCACTTCGGCCCGCCGGCAGCGATGGTGCTCATGGCAGACTTAACCAATGCGTCAGGGTTAGGGTTAGGGTTAGGGTTAGGGTTAGGGTTAGGGTTAGGGTTAGGGTTAGGGTTAGGGTTAGGGTTAGGGTTAGGGTTAGGGTTAGGGTTAGGGTTAGGGTTAGATTAATACATTTAATCTCGTTTAATTTCATTAAGTTTATAGTCTTTAAAATAAAAATTATTACTTTATTCTTTAAGCATTTAACGTATATTTTAAGACTTCTTTAAAGTTTAATAAAGTAAAGTTATATTATAACGTATTTAGCTATTATTTAAAGGCTTTTAAATTATTTAAGTCTATAATTATAGAAAATAAATCTCTTTAGATTTCTCTTTAAATATTTAAAAGAGGTTTTAAAGTTCCCTTAAACTCAAAAGTTTAAATTATTTATTTACGTGTATTTAACCTTTACTTAATTACTTTCTTTAAGCTCTTATAGTCTCTTAAAGTATAAGTATTATTTTATAACTTCTTTATAATTTTAATTTTATAATATTAAGTTCTTCTTTTATTTTATTTATATTAAGATTATTTTATGCCTTATAGTTTAGAAGTCTTAATATTATAGTTTTAAGTTCTTATAAGAATTAAGTTATCTTATAATACTAAATAGTATTAATAAGTTTTATAATATTCGTTTAATAATAAGAGCTTATTCGTATAGCTTTATTAGGCGTTTAATACTTATATTAAGTTAAGAAAGAAATAAAGAAAGGTATTAAGACTTTAATAGTCTTAATCTTATTACTAAAACTATATAATAATTTAAGGTATTAATTATATTAATTATTATTGTTTTTTTATTATTTATATTTAAAGTATCCCTAGTAATATTACCCCTCATTTCACCATATAACGTGACTGTGTCCACTTTTTCCCCTAACACCCCCCCATTCATTTATACGTGCGTCCAAGGTTATTAATCTCAAAACCGCAGACGACTTCGCATGCGAAATACCGGGCCTGGAAGCAAGACTCAGGCAGAAAACCTGGCAAGAGCTTGAGGAACATCTAGCAGGCGTTAAGACAATAGGTAGGTCCATGCGGCTCTACGACGATGATCTCCCCACCGAACACGAGCTTAGGGGAGCAGGTGCGCGACCGCATGGAAAACTCCATGGCTTGGAGCTGTGTATGTAGTAGGCTGGTCGCCTCAAGTCAAGCTCCTTCTTGATGCTAGTCGTAACTTGACAGCCTGTGATAGCTAAGTCACACCCTGTTCCGCGAGGTACAAGCCAGGCAAGTGCGATATGAGCGGGCGGTCGTGTCGCGACGCGTTGGTTGCTGGGCAGGCTGGCCCTGAATTGACGTGGTTAAAACCGGACAGTGCGCGGTACCTTAATTGCCGAGCCCCTTTCTTTCTCGGCCTACGTTCCAGCCACTGGTTCCGCCGGTAGCCCCCATCCACCACTCTTCGCCAAAATTCACATTTTCAAATTGAAATGGACAAATGAACTGGTTATGACGGCCATTCGGCTGTCTCTTCTGAGGGAGTTGGCCAAGGCCGTTGCAGTAGCAGAAACTTGATGGCTGCCAACAGCAGTCTGACTCCCACTTTGCAGGAAGTTGACAACCTGACTACCATCCCACCTGCGTGTATTTTGTAATGTAATTTCCGTCTACTCCTTCATCGGCGCTACAGGCGTTATCCTACGATGGCGGCCATGTTGCAGTTTCTCAACTCGACGCGATGATTTATACACCTTTTGCCGGGGGTATTGATGCATTCTCTCACGAATACGGCCAAGATCCGCGGACGGCTCCAGCGGATTGAAAAATTACGCTGGACAGAATGCATTGCCCAGGACTAGCTCGGGTCGGCCGCGGACGTTTGCAACCAAACGAGTATAAAATGGCTGGCTGCAGTTCATGGCGGCATTTAGTCTGTAAAACTCATTCTCTCAAATACTCTACCATACGATTAATACATTACTGCCTTAAATGAGCGAAAAATCTATTTATCTTGTCACTTCGTTAAGAGTCCTAATTTACCTGCATTTTATTCTGCCGACATTTGGTGTCTCACGATGGCGTCTATAGTCTCTCTAGACAACCAATTTTTCTGGACACAACCACGCAGGAAAGCTGTGGGGAAACCAGTGCTGTGCCAACAAAGCCAGCCCTGCCGAGCTAGCTCCTCACTGAAGGTTTTCTCAAGCGACGCGCCAAATTGCACAACTTGATGCAATATGTGTGGCAAGGGAAAAGATTGTCAAAGACGTAAATTTACATCTCCATAATACATACAGTACTGTACCGCTCGTACATCTATGAGTTCTCAACAACCTATATATGCATATAAGTATAGTAGCTATAACGAAATAAATGTATTCTGATACACTGATAGTACGAGCCTTTTTACATTATCTTTCTAAGGTAATTCTTTATCTAAATCTGCTAATTTAGTACGTAGTAGTTCTTCACACGTTGTCTTCATTCTTGCAATATACTCAGTATTAATCGCGTTAGTTGTTGCGGCCAACTTTGCACCATTAAGCGTCGCGCAATACTCAGCCAGATCGGCCAAGGTCGCAAATTCACTCCTCCAACAGCGCAATGTCAACACATCCAGCTGGGAGTCAGACATCAGTTCCGGAAACACCCCAGTACGGAAGAGCTCCACAGTCTCTGGGCCTTTGTCCTCGTACGGCTCGAGGCCGTGCGTCATGTTGTAGAGGATCGAGCCGAACCCAAACTGCTCGGTCTCGGCCCCATAAAGATGGTGATTAGGAGAGGACCATGGCGGAGGAAGTCCGGGATCCAAGTCTCCAATCTTGGCGCAGCTGTCGAAGTCCACCAGCTTCATATGATCCTCGCTGTCGAGGAGGAGGTTTGACGGGCGCAGGTCCCCCTGGACCAGCTCAATGGACTCCAGCCAGGCGAGCGCGCTGGACAGCTCCGCAGCCCACTGCTCAATCTTGGCCGTCGGCTCTAGGCGTAAGACTTCGAAGCACTCAAGAGTCTTGGGGTCTTGGCGTCGGTTGGCTCGCAGGCGAGAGTCGAGGCTGTCGGGCATTAATTGCATAAAGTGTGCGTAGGGGAGCCGGAGAAAGCTCTGGATGAAGTGCGGCGGCGGGGGAGGGTCGCTCCGCTCGATCAGCGCGTAGGTTTCGTTCTCGCGGCGGAACTCTTCCTCACGGCCTGGGCAGAGAAATTTGAGGGCGATACCAGGCGCCACTTCGAAAACCCATCCCGTAGCGCCGTTGGAGATGAATTCAAATTTGTTGAACAACGACCGGGGAAAAACTTGATCCAGTCTTTCTGGCATGGTGGTGATTATGGGGCGATAGATTCAGGACATGTAACGGGTATCTGGGGAGTGCGAGCGGGAATCAGATGGGGACGGAAGTTGTCGCAAGGGATATAAGGGGCACCTGGGGTATAACACATAAAATACCGTGGCGTGGCCACCCCTGTTTTTTGGTATTTTTTCGTGTGACAGTTATGAGCCTGGGAGGGCACGCTAAGCCCTGGAACTTCTGGATTACCTAAAATTGCTTCAACCTACGACCCTAACCTTATACGCCAAGTTCGAACCCCATTACAGGCCACATTTGGACCCCAGATGTTAGAGTCCATCTATTGGGAGCTGTATGCATATAACTAGCCCGATTTGGTCGGGGACTCTATAACCCACACCTCTTAGTGTGTTTTACACATAAAAAATGGTAACGTATTATATTTAAAAAACGCGCTTAGTAATAGGTTTAAAATTTAATGGCACTAAGTAATAGTAGTATTAAAAGAGCCTAATTCATTTAAAAACGCGATTTTTAGTGTTTTATTTAAAATGTATACATTCTATTAAGCCGGCTATTAATCCGGGCTATCTAGGGGGTTATTAGCAATCGCAACGATAATTTCCTTCTCCGCAATTAACGCCTACCCTATTAATTACAGTATTTCTAGAACGAATTAATAACTGTGAGCCGCCTCTATTATTTGCTTTATGTCCTTGGCTGCGATTACCCTTTAATTTTAGCCTGTGTAAGGGTTCTTTAAATGCTAGAATTTAAGCGCTGTAATTGTGGCCGTAAAGGCAATTCAATTAATTGAGGTAATTAAGTTGCTCGTAATAGTTAAATTATTATTAAATCGTGTTATTAAGGGTTAATCTAATTATTTTAAGCTTCACGTACGCGGCTAACCTTAATAGGGTTTAGAATTTAAGGGTTAGGTTATTAATATTCTAAATGTTAATATTAGGTACAATTTTTATGTTATTTCCTTTTAAATTTAACTAATAACTTACTAGAGGCTTTTAAAGCTACTAGTAAGAATAAATAATAGTCTTATTAAGCTTTTAATTATAGCTTTAATAATCGTAGAATTTATATTAGTTATTTATAGAACTTATAATTCTATAAGTATTTTATTAGATTTAATATAATTTTTTATATTTAAAACTACAAAACCTATAAAACTATAAAACTACACTACAGTTAATACTCTAGTTGCAAGGGATATAAGGGGGTATAACACATAAAATATCGTGGCGTGACCACGCCCGTTTTTTAGTATTTTTTCGTGTAACAGAAGTTACCAAAGAGTCTAGGTCAGTGGGGTAACAGCTATTTATTTTGAGTTCACCTGACTAATCAACACTACTAGTTACCTGTTATTAATACAAGGCAGTTATTTGCAAATAGTAAGACACCCGTTTATAATAAGGGCTACCTAGATAAATAGGTGCCAACTGCTAAGTACCTACTATACGGATACTATGTACCTCGTTGATTATAGACTACTTAAGCCTGAGTCAAGTTTGAGCCGCTCGAATTGCAGCCTCCACAGCCTCCTTTGACTGCCACCTCCCTTCATGGAACAAGTACGCGCCGGAATCGATACAATCATCGCATGGCTTGCGGATCGTGCTTCTGCCCTCATAAGCCGTCCTCATCACTACCCCACAGTTGTTACAGCCTTGATACGGAAGAATGCTCGATGGTTCATCCACGGCATGTCTACACACGTATTTCCGGTTGTGAATGATTTCTTGGCACATCTCCTCAACTATCTTAGCGCAATATCATCGTTGAGTAACAGAAAGGCGAACTGACCTTGTATTGCAAGTGGACAAGGCGATACTTAAGTTATGAAACGGAATGCTTAATAATGATAGATTGATGAGGAGCCACGGTAGAGACACTATGCCTTTTATAAAGAAGTTAACCCTGCCACGCAAGCTCGATACATATTATCGTCCTACGCATCGGCCGCAGATTCGGTCCACGAGAACAGCTCACATAGCTGAAATACTGACATGTTTCATCACGCCTTCTCACCACCCCGTAGTAAGGCGGCATGAAATGCAGTCCGGCCGCATTAACAGGTTTCACAACAACGCCAATATGGCTGCTGCCTGGCAGTCTACTGGGTTTGTACATGCTGTACAGTGCGGTGCGCTAATAAAAAAGTTTCACATTCAATCACATACCACGTTTAGCCGCCTGTTGGTTGTCTTTTGACCCGTTCAGCCTCACTCCGCGCCACGCGAGGTTGAATCCCTAAAGCTGAATGTACGGTTGTGCCATTAATCTGGCATGCCGCCGAACCTGAAGTTGCTGTGACTATGATTGCCTAGGGTTCGTTTCTCTTCTTTTATACCTTTCTTATTACTTTAATAACTTAAGACTTCTTTGTATTCTCCTCTCCGCTAATATATTAGAAGTGCTAATTTAAGTTATTCCTCTTCTTATTATATTACTTTACATTAAGAGCCTCTATTACTATTAAATAAGTAATACGTTATAGCCTATTTAGTGTTAATAGGTTCGTAATTTTATTACTAAGTACCACGTATAACGTTAATAATTTAACCTTTAACGTTACCCTACTTTATATGTAAACCTTATAATCTTTAGGCTAAGAAAAGGACACTATACTTTCCTTAAATCCATTTAAAACCTAGCTATATATAGGCTATTACACGCTTACTATAAGCTTACCTCCCTTAAGCTCTTCTATTCGTTGCCGGTAAGCTTCCCTTTGCTTAGCTCGAATCCCGGCGATATCTCTCTGCGTTAGCTGCCGGCTAATAATTTAATTACCCGTAGCGTTAGAAACCGAAAGACCTAGCGCTAGAACGCTATTATTATCTTCGCGCGGTAGCTTTCTATTAATAGCTTTAAGAAGTTTATTAAGAATAACGTAGTCCTTTATAATTAAACGCTTATTTATAGTTTATTACCGGAGAATATTATTAATTAACGTTTAGATAACTGCTAGCTTTAGTTTAAAGCTTTCGTGCCGCAAAGGTTCGAAGCCTTCTTCAGGTGCATACACATTGTCGTCGTCTCCCTCAGAGCGACTTGCCTACAGTCTTGCATCCCTTCTTGCATCCTCCGCCGCTTGTATGCGAGAACAAGACATTAAAAGTCTTGCAACACGACATGACATACAAAACTGCATTGCTTAAACCCGGCGAGATATTTGCGAGGGTCAAAGCACCATTCATGCTCTTATTGACCAATTGGATACTGAGGGCTTTTGGAGCAGACTACAATTCGATGATAATGGGCGTGTTACTGCTGTCCTTTTGCTCATCCTCAATCTCTTGAATATCTTCAAGCACACCCAGATATGCTATTATTGGATTGCACATACAATACCAACAAATACAACATGCCACTGCTTGAAATAATTGGCTTTGATGCATGCCAACGGTCTTTCTGTATTGCATTTGCCTTTCTAAGTGGCGAGACAGGATGACTACGAATGAGTATTTGGTCGGCTTTAATCTCTTTACACATCCTGTAACATAAGATTGCATCTGTTATATTAACCGATCGATGTCTTGCGTGAATAAATGCACTAAAGCTTGTATTTTCTAATGTGGTATTACTACTATACCTCTAGCATACTAATAAGGCAGTTCTCGACAATTGCGTCCCAATATTTACAGCATAAGAGCGGCTGCTTGCAAAACTATTATCAATACAAATAACCGATAAAGATGAGTTAGCACGCTAAAAAGAGTTCTATACAGGGTGGCACTATATAATTAGCTCTCTAACGGAGTCGGCCTATAAAGATTGAGTTATAGCATTTGAGAAAAAGTACATCCCGAACCACGTTAAAGAAGTTAGTTATGTTAAGGAAGTTTAACTGAAACTATATAAAGAGAAGATTATTAAGGCTTGGGTTAATCTTAATACTTATTTTAGTAACGTAATTACCTCACGTGTTAAAGGTATTTATGCGCTTATAAAAGCGTACCTTAAGACCTTACAGCTGGATTTATTTGAAGCCTAGCGTACGATTAGACACGCTATTCTTAACTAGCTATATAGACTCACTTATTATTAATTCTATTAATAGACTTAAATACCTCTTAGGTTATTAGAAAGTCTATATAATATTATATAAGAATAGGTTTTATTTAAGGCACTTAAAAAGGTTAATAAATAATAAGAATTACTATATAGAGATAACTCCCTTATATTATAATTATATATTAATAAATTCACTTAATTATACGAATTTCCTTACGTTTATAAAATAAAGTAACTACTTAACGTAAAGTAGCCTCTTTCTCTTAGAGAATTCTATACCTAATAGCACTATAAACGCGACGGTTAATTAATTTATCTTATTAAGTCTTAGTATATTAAGAGGTAAAAAGAGAATTCCCCGGTTATTAAATTAAGTACGTCATAATATTTAAGCGTATTTAAGATAGTTAATTATTAAAGGTAACCGCTAAAATACTTATTATATAGAGACGTTAAGCATATATAAGTCTTAAGGTTATATCTTAACCGTTATTAAGAACTACTTTCTTAACTAATAGTTATTAAGCTAACCTTAGATATAATAATAACATTATAGACTACTTTACAGGTAGTAGAACGAGCAGATAGTCAATTATTGTCACAGCTGCAAGCAGTCAACCAAGCATTATCACCAGCACAGTCACTGATTGAGGTTGCCAATGCTACTTCATCCTCACAGCCAGTATCACGACACGTTATTAAGTAGCCTTCTTAACGCAGGAAATGTAATAGTTTACGAACGTATACTTTCGCATGTTAAAACATCCTCTGTGCCGCTGGCCGGAACTGTGTCGGCATAAATTGCCAGACCGGCATTCAGGGCAGTTAAGAACGATGCTAGCAGGTCAAAGACTTGCATCATGCTGAAACAATGTTCTGGAGACTGGGAGAGGTAGTTTTCCATTACGTTCGTTCGTGCGATTCGTGAATGCCCTGCCGTTTTATTAGCTATGTTTCCACTAAGCTTCGTAGACTAGTACAAATACCTACAATA